TCTCGCGGCTGTAGTCTGAGCTATATTCTTTGCGACGGACACCCCGGGGGTTGTCCTCGGGCTGCACTCGCAATGGCACATTTCCCTTTCTGAAAGTAAATGCTGTCTTGGTCTACCGGGTGGACCAACTGCAGTGCAGCTGCAGCCCTTCGAATCCCTTGACGAAGAGGATGGCGAAGTTGAGCTGATTCATGGATCTTTCTCCACTCTTTGGGGACACCCAAGATTGTAGTCTGATCCCGGTTTGTTATTTTAATTTTTTTTTTCCTGTCAGCTACAGTCATGGGACAAATAGGCGGATACATTGGCGGATAGGGGCGGGCACCGGTAAACGTGGCCACATAGCGACGTAAACCTGGCCCCATAACCGAGTTTCAGGAACTTCTGCCAGCGAACGGGCAAATAAGAGTTACTTTATCTCCAAGCTTTCTACTAAAGTTCTAACTAAACCCTTCTCCTTCCCCACTTCTGCGTCTCCACGTGCAACCTTTTCTGTCCGACTTCCGTTGGCAGTGGGCAGGCTTAAGTGGGCAGGTTTGGGCGGTTTCTATGGCTCACCCTAACTCACTTTAACTCCACCCACCCATTCTCAAACTGCCTTGAGAAACACAAAGGGGTCTGGAAGAGGCTAAGATCCATGCAAATAAATTTACAGTAGTCAGGATGGCTTTTAAGCCAAAAAAAATCAGCTTATAGCCTCAGACAAGTCTTCCTTAAGCCACAAATCATCAGGAAAAAAAAAAAAAAAAAAAAAGTTCAGGACTCGGAGTAAAATCTGTCTCTTGTTTTCCAGACCTCCCTGACTAAAACTTAAGCATCCGGAGAGCAAGGCTCCTGACCCCATGGGCAAAAGAATCATCTGTGGCATTTAAGGTGTGCCAGGGAAGAGATAAAAGCCCGAAAACAAAATTGCCAAGAGCTGGCACTCGCTGATTCCCTAAAGCTGTTGGGTCCCTGTTTTAAGTGAGGAAAAGGCCATGGGCTAGTGAATGCCCTGCCAGGCCATCAACAGCCTTGTTAAAAGTGCCACCTAGAAAGAGAGAGTCAGCTCGCTGCCCCCAGGCACCAAGATGCATGGGTACATCAAGCTAAGACCTCCAGCAGACCTAGACTTGGCTACAGACATGGCAGGGAACCCAGAATGCAGCAGGGAAGTGATCTGTTTCTTTCCTTCTGGACCCCAGAGCCACTGACTCAGTCCTGGGAGTTTTGGGATGCCACCTCCTTTATTGTCGGGTACAGAGGATAGCCTTACCACCTCACCAGATTTAATTGCACCTTCAGAGTTCTTAATGAAAAAAGATTTCCACCTAAAATAAGAGCTCATTGCTTCACTCCAGATCCACTGCCTGTGTTTCTCACGTGCATACAGACAGGGCCTTGACCTTTGCCTTGTCCTTAATTCCAAAAAAAATTAAAATAAATTCTCATGTACCACAAGCTTTTCTCTTCCCAGTTCCCTGTTCTAACTCGCTGTTCAGCTAATGGTACAGGACCACCACAGAACCAAAGTCCAGAGATCATCAAATAAGAAACTGTAACAGCTAAAAGGTATTTACACCCCCAGGCCCAAAAGCATCTGGGCACTACAAAAAGACTTTAATATAAACATCTATTACTGTGAGATGCTTTTAACAATTGATCACCTGTCTCCTGGATGCCAAACTAATAAAGGAAACAGGTGCTTTAAAATAATTTGTCTCTGATAAAGCTTAACATGTTTCAAAATCCATCTGGACAGGCCAGATCTACCTCAGATAAATGCCAACATAAAATAATAATGATTCTTTTCTCTCTCTAAGTTTTTTTCTGTGTCACCAGCATCTTGTCAAACAGACAGTTCCCAGCCACAGCCAAGAGGGATACATGTCTCCAGAGCAAAGAGATAACAGACAGCATCCCACAATGCCTGTCTACCTCGGAAAACTCCCCTTCCCCATTGCCCCCAGAGCCAACCAACGTCCAAAAGTCAGCTGGAAGCAGTTTTTGAGAGGAACAACGCCCCTAATCCCATCTACCTGCTTTTTTTATAATAAGGCAAAGTCTGGAATGTAAGGATTTGATCCTTAATTACGTCATCAACCTTTGCCAGCTTCCCAGCCTAAAAAGAGGGTGAGCCCTTTGTGGGCTCTCTGCCCCCTCTCCTCTCCGCTCCTTCCTCCCGTCGGCTCCTCTCTCCCCCTCCCCCTTTTGTGTCTCTCTGTCTCTGTCTCTCTGTCTCTCTCTCCACCCAATAAAGCTCTAAAAAGGTAACCATGGCTATGATTCTTTTAATCAGCACGCTCCAGCCACGAGGGGCAGCGCTGCGGCATAACCAACAAAAACATCTGCAGCTTTATCCATTTTTGAATGGTTTGTGGAGGACTCAAAATAGTATCACTAACGTTCTGCTAAGTGAAAGTCAGATTAATGTGACGTGTCAAATATAAAATATTTTGTTGGCTAGTATTAAAATAGAAACATAGAACAAATTAACATTAAAGATTTTAATTAATTTATGATTTATAGTCAAGGACAGACATGGTCCCTCTAAATACATTCTTCATGTTGGAAACAGCATTTATAAATTAATAGTTACAATTGACTGTAAATAATTGGGAACGTATGAACTCACTTCTGTGTGGAGTATTCCTTTTCACTTGTGAAGATATGTCACTGTGATTGGGTTAATAGAGAAACTGACTGGCTGGTGGCTGGAGGTTAGGCAGGAGAACCAGACTAAGGACACTGGGAAGAAAAGGGGTGGGAGAGAGGAGTTGCCAGCCAGACACAGAGAGGAAACAGGAGGTGCAAGATGAAAGAGAGGTAACACCATGTGGCAGAATGTAGATTAATATAAACGGGTTAATTTAAGTAGTAAGTGTTAGCTAGTAACAAGTTTAAGCTATTGGCCAAGCATTTATAATTAATATTAAGCCTCTGTGTGGGTTATTTGGGAACTGGCAGGCAGGTAAGAAAAGTCCATCTACACTTCTATAGTATCAAATGAACATTTTATTATTGTAGTGTTCATTTGAACTTCGTTTACTACAACACAGGTAAGCTTTGAACTATTCATGGGAGGTAACTAAAGGCTGGCTTCTTCTAGAAAAGTCCGTAGAACTGGTTGGTTGTATGAACACGAAAACCACAGTTTGTTTGTTGGGTTTCTCTATGGGGCCATTGCACTCATGAGTGTTCCACTGATGCCTCCACACTTTTGGGTGGGAAGGAACAAGCGCCTCTTGTCTTCAGCGTCTTTATCATTGGGTACTCATAAAACTCCTTAGCTAAAGACTTAGCAAGGTGGCAGGAGAAGCAGCAGGAGATGCAGAATTGTGAATTTGAGGGGAATGTCAGGAGACAAAGGCCAAATGCTAATAAAACATTTCAAAGACAGTGAAAACCAAGAGAACCAAAATCAAAATGCCTTCAAAGTTCCTAAAACGAACAAAATACTGACCAAAATGCCTTTAGACATCCGGAAGCAAGCAAACAAACCAAGCCAAACCAAAATGCCTAGACCAAAATGCTCTCAGAGCAAAGAAACAAATGAGATACTTTTAACAAAATACTTGGAAAGCAGATCAAAGTAGGATCCTCTTGTCTATCGAAGTAGCTCCTTCCTAACCAGCTCAGTTTTTTGTTTTGTTTTGGTTTTTGGTTTTTGGTTTTTGGAGACAGGGTTTCTTTGTGTAGCTTTGCTCTGGAACTCGCTCTGTAGACCAGGCTGGCCTGGAACTCACAAAGATCCTCCTGCCTCTGCCTCCCGAGTGCTGGGATTAAAGGCGTGCGCCATAACCGCCCGGCCCTAACCAGCTCTGAATAAGCAAAATGAACCACTGACCAAATTTAGGGAAGTCCAGAGTCCTAAAAGAATTCACCAACAATCCACTAAGGAAATAACAGCAGATGGCCTGCATTCAGTGGGTTCATACAGTCACCTGGCTTCCTCTCAGGTGATTTATTCAATAAAAAGTGGATCATTCTCGACATCCCACATTGCAGCGCCATACTTGATAAAGCAAAAACCACATCTCTCATCTTGAAGGGTATAAGAGATAGTTTATTCTGGAGCCATTTTGAGTAACCGTGACCTAGGAACACAGATTTAGGTTACCCCAAACTCCACGTTGTAATGTGGAAGCAGTTTCATGAAGTTCTTATAGTTCCATGAACAAAGGAAGTCATAAATCAAGACAAGTTTAACAATTGATGAGCATATCAGAGATGGAGGTATGTGGGGAGCTGTTCTATTCATCTAAGATCCTATCTGGTGACATCTGGCAGAAGTTAGTGGTCTGCTAAGCTAATAGATTCCAAAAGGGCTATTATCTATTGTCACAAGGTGTTAATTGCGACACAGTGGGACAAAGAATGGCTGTTTTGGAGGGCCAAATTTAGAGGGCTGGAATTTGGCCCAAGATAAGGTAATTAACTCCTGGACCTGCAACATTCCAATCTCTCCACAGTCCTGAAATTCTAATCCGCCACTCAGCCTCTGCAGATCCTTTCGGGAGTTGTCGTTCACAGTAGGATGGCTTAGTGAGATACTTAGGCCCTGTGAGCCTGCATTTTGGGTTCTAGTGGTCCCTAAAACAGTATCTATCTTTATGTCCTTGTCAGCTAACCTACAAGATTATCTTGGCACGCTCTCACACCCACCCGGTGTCTTTATCTGTCTCTCAGAACGTGGGAGATACACAGAGAATAATCTTCTTTCCGCTAGTTCAGACCTCATACTTCATATCATGCCTGGATCAAGCTGTTACACTCACTCTTAAAGACCTCCAGCACCAGATCACAGTTCCTCCTAGTCTGTGCTTTAGGCAGAGGACTTGCAGGTATCCGGTTTCTAAAACAAAACAAAACAAAAAAAAAACAAAAGGGTCCGGTTCGGATTGGCTGATCTAGGAAGAAGGACAGAGACTTCACCCAATCACAAAACTAGAATTTTCATTGTAGTCTCCTCCCTAAAATCCTAGTAACAGGGCTGCTTGTTTTTTTTCCCTTAGAGAAGGTCAGCCTGGGGTTGCTATGGAGACAGGACGCTGCAACCTGTATAGCCTGTAGAACCCAGAAATTGATTGCTTAGGAGATCTCAGCAAAACTCCGTATTGCTTCCTTCCTTCCATATCTTCACTCTCCCTTCAGCCAGAATCTTTGTTTTTATTTTTGACTCCTATGGAAAACTCTACTTCTCTGAAGCAAGAAAAAGAAAACCAAGAGCCAGAGGAAGCAGAGCAGCTATGGGAAGGAGCATCAGTAGCTTCTCCCCAGGATCCTGGTCCCTCATCACCTGAGTACCGGGAAGAGGAGCAAAGGTCAGACACTGAACCCCAATACAGAATGAACCCCTCTTGGGGCCGCCAGTCTGGAGCCAGCCCGTCTCTGGAAGACCTCACTGGACCAGGATTGCGGTCCTCCCCTCCTCTGCTTCCTCCGGAGTTTCATGCCACTCCTTTCCTGACCGCACCTACACAGGACCCTGTAACTTCATCACAGGCAGAGAGGGGCCCGAGTGGGATTCTTGATGCTGCGACACCTCATTCTGATCCGTGGGAACCATATGCTGCTGCAAGACAATTAACTTCTCACTACACGAGCCAAGCAGAGGGAAGCACCTTCCCAGGGTCTCCGCCACCCCAGCCTGACCTGTGTGGGCCAGGCGATGCCAGCCGTAACAAGTCCAAGCCCAGCGGGCTGAGATATGACCTTCTACCGGAGGAAGACTCCAACAGTAACTGTGACCCAGACCAGCCCGAGTTTAGGGCCGATGAAGCAGCTCCCAGTATGCTTGAGGTGGCCATTCAGAATGCAAAGGCATACCTGCTGAGTACCAGCAGCAAGTCTGGTTTAAACCTGTAAGTATCACAGGTGTTGGGGGACAGACAGTTAGACAAAGCAGGACAGGGGCAGAGTGAGGCAAGCGTCTCTGTGAAAACATGCTGGAGATGAAAGAAGATAGAATTGGAAAGGCTTTCATTTGAAAAAGAAAAGTTACTGGGTGTGGTGGCCTAGGCCTTTAATCTCAAGACCTAGGAGGGGAAGTAGAGGCAGGCAGATCTCTGTTATAGGTCTGCCTGGTCTACACAGAAAGTTCCAGGTCAGTCAGGGCAACACAGAGGGACTCTATCAGAAAATACAAATAAATGAGTTAATGAGATAATTGTGTCAAACACTTAAATCCAGGCCACTGCTGACCATTCTTTTAGGTCTTTGAAGACCCTAGTCACACAGTCTGGGTATATTTTGTTTGTTTGGGGTCTCGTTGTTTGTTTTATCTAATTTTGACTTGAAGGGAATTATAAAGTCATGAAATCTAAGCATCTACCCAGGGTGCTTGTAAAATAGAATGCCTACAGTGACCGTGTGCACTCTTGTAACCATTCCAGGACTTGTGTAGGCTGACTTTATGCTCAGTCCCTGGACAGCGCTGGGGTGACTGCCCACCCTGGTTTCCTTAGGTCTGCCCTGCAATGTGAGCACTGGAAGTTCCACATCCTGTGTTCTACAGGAAACCAGAAAAACTGGCTGTTTAAAAACATTCTAGTCTCTCTTTTAAAAGTGTGGTAACCAGCTGTCTGGGTATGTTCTTGACATCTCATTGTGGGTTTAATGTGAGAACTCATACTAGTGTAGGTTTTTAGACATTTTTGCTTCCGGGATTACATAATCATAGATAAATTTTGTGGCTAGAAGCAACGCTAGAAAACATCAAATGGAAATGGGGGTGGAAGAGATGGTCAGATCTTTTAGAAGACCCACGTTCAATTCCTAGTTCACAGTTGTCTGTAACTCTGGTTTTAAGGGTTCTGAAACTCTCCTCTGGCCTCCCTGGCATCAGGCACACACTTGTTACACAGACTAATGTGCAGGCAAAACACACATACGTGTTTTAATAAGTGTCAATAAATTTTTTAAAATAAAGAAAACATCAAATCAAGTTGTTCTTTTTCAATATGAAGGACCTGACTCAGAAACTCATGGAGGACTTCATTTGCTTGATTCTCAATTTGTTTCATTCCTCATTACTCTTCTCCAGTCATAAGAAATAGTCAGTTCCCATGATCTCTCTGCTGAGGAGGCTTTTTCCCTCAGTCTTTGCTTAGTTAGCTCCTGACCCTTCAGAACTCAGCTGGCACAGAACTCTCCTGCAGTAGTGTATGTTTTTATTTCATAGTACTTTGTGACAGTTATAATTTTATAAATTTATATGACATTCATAATTTTATAAATGTTTATGAACTTATATTTTGATGCCTGGCCCTCCCACTAGGGATCATCAGCCTCCAAAGTATGAGTAGGTAGCTGCAGGAACTAGAGGCTACATCTTGCAAATACAATGTGGGTGCATGTGAGTACTGGAAACCCAACTCGAGTCCTCTCAAAGAACAGGAAGAACTCTTAACCACTACATAACACCATGTCATAAAAATAGTTTATTTTTAATTATGTATCTATGTGTAGGAGTGTGCTTATGAATGGGGTGCCCTTGGAGGCCACAGACATTGGATCCCATGGAGTTGCACTCAGTGCTTACTGACAAAACAGGACACAATGCAATAGATTTTGATGATATTGGAAATAGATTCTCAAGAGGCATAGGCCACTATTTCTCCATCCATCCATCCATCCATCCATCCATCCATCCATCCATCCATTCTTATTCTGTAAATCAGCATTGTGCTAGAAGATAAGTATTTAGCAGTGTGTAAAGTCCATGCAGTCTCTATAAATCTGGTGTTTGAAAGCCACAGACTGTGAGTTATGAACAATGTATAATTAATTAATGGCAAATGAAGTTTTGCTAATATAATTGTGAAATAAAGTAGAACAAAATGTTATAATCACCACTCCAGAGGAGGGCCACATGTCTAAGAATATTTGGGCAGCACACATTGGCCCTGATGGAGGGGGAAAAAAAAAGACACAAAGTTGAGTTGGTGGATCTGGGAAGAATTGGGAGAGGGAAGGTAAATATGATTAAAACACATATAAAATTCTCCAAAAACTAACAAAAATAGTTTAAAACAAAAGAAAAAAGCAAATAATTTGTTAACTTGTCTTTAACTGTATGTAGGTAGATAGCAATATGAAATGCTTTCTTTGGGAGCCTAAAAACATTGAAGCAAATCGTTACTTTAAAAATATAATGTAGGGTGTAGAGACAGGGCTCAGTGGTTAAGGGCACTAGTTGCTCTTGCAGAAAACCAGGATTCAGTAGCCAGCACCCACATGGTGGTAGCTCACAACGATCCTTTAATCCCAGTTCTAGGGGATCCAAAAATGTCTGACCTCTTCAGGAACCAGCGTGCAAATGGTACATATACATACATGCATGCAAAATACTCACATGCATTAAGTAAAATAGATCTTTTTTTAAAGACGTAGGGGCTGGAGAAATGGCTCAGCAGTTATGAATGTGTACTGCTCTTGCAGAGGACTAGAGTTTGGTTCTCAACACTCATGTTAGGCAGTTCAAGAGCACCTACAACTCAGAATCCAGGAGATCTGGCATGTTCTAGTCTCCAAGGGCACGAGCTTTCACACGTACCTGCCCACATGCAAAGACATAATTGGAAAAATTCTTTAAAATATGTAATATGGTAAGAACACAGCTCTTAAGGGATTAATAGGAGAATATCAAATAACATCAGATTGTATTTGGTGAGGGCAAGGATGGGGAACAGGAAATAATTACGGTAAGAGGGAAAAATGTTCATCACTGTTAGTATATAGCTAAGAGGTTTCAATTTCAGAAATGAAATGTGAAAATAGCTGATGTGTATTGTATATCCTGATGCTATGTTTTCCTTTACTACCTTAAATATCCACCTCATATCAGAGGATTTACTAGAGAAAATTCTAGAGTATGTACTATCTGGAGTGGTAGAAATTAACCTCTCTTCAAAATCACTTAAGATTTCAAATTTTTAACTTCCCCCAAACCCAACTGAATTTGCATGAAAAATTTTTAAGTGTTCATGATATATATAAATTTTCTCTGTTTGGGTAGATATGATCATCTTTCTAATGTGCTGACCATGATATTAGACCAGCGTCCTGCAGATGCTGTTGACATCATTGAAAATATAAGCAAAGATGTAAAGGTGGCCAATTTTAATAAAAAATTAGATACACTCCACAATGAAAATGAGATGCTCCCAGCATATGAAATAGCAGAGAAGCAGAAGGCTCTTTTTCTTCAGGGACAGTTGGAAGGAATTGATCCAGAACTGGAGGAGGAAATCGTAAGTGATCACTAACTATCTCAACACTGTTACTGAGCATGGGAATCTCAGGGATGAGTGGCATTGGCTTCATGAATATACTATTTTACAGATCTGTAAATAGTAGTAAGTTATTGCCAAATAGCTTGATAGTACTAATGAGCACTGGAATCTCAGGGATGAAAGAGTTTGCTGATGAGCACACCAACTGTTTTTATAGCTCTGTAAATAGTATGTGAATCAGATTTTTCTATATCCTTTCAAGCCTTCCAGTGCATTTCACTATGATCATCTGGTGACTTCCGTGTCAGTAAGTGGTATGAATTTTTCATCATTTTACGAGACCTTTGTCATGCGTGATGTCTGTCATTTTTTTAGAAAGTTACTATTTGGTGCATAATCAGATATGGCATCCACTCTTGATGGATGGATCGAGTCTTCGTCACTGTTGTATTGCTGTGAAGAGACGCCATGAACAAGGCAACTCATAAAAGAAAGCCATTTGATTGGTTGGGGTCTCTCTTACAGTTTCAGAGGTTCAGTCCGTTATCATCGTGGCAGAAACCACGGCAGCACGCATGGTGCTAGAGCAGCAGATGAGAGCCACAACAGATGGCAGACATTCTCAGGAATACCTTCAGAAAGAAATGCCAGTATTAAATATAGGAATGGGGCTCTCGGCTGTCTAAGGCAGCTTCACTAGGTCAGGTTCTACACCCCGATACAGGAGGTGAGTGAGAAGACACATAGCCGTTTTGAGTCTGGAGCCTGACCCCCCCTTGACCAAGCATCTTCCTAATAAAGGGTCAGGCTAGCAGCTGTGACATACGGGGGCTGAGTTACAGGATGAAGAGTACAGCTTCCTATCAGGGCCAGAAAGAGGGTAAAGGCTCCCACTGTCATGCTTGAAGGCCCGCTGGGTTCAGTCCTGGAACCTGCATGCTTAAGGACAGAACCAACCCCAGCAAATTGTCCTTTGACCTCCACAGTTGTGCTCCTGACCCTGCTGTGTGGTAGATAAGTGAGCAGGGCCAAGAGCAAGGGACACTCTCTACACGCCAGGGAAAGAACTTTGCAATCTTATATCACAAGTGAGGATTTTAAATGTGTTACATTATATTAGATGTATTAGCCAGGCCAGGTGGCTTTAATCCCAGCACTCAGAGGCAAAGGCAGACAGATCTTTGTGAGTTCAAGGCTAGCCTGGACTAGAGAGTGAATTCCAGAGCAGCCACGGCTATACTCAATCAAAACCAACCAACCAAACAACCAAAGAAAAAAAACTCAAAAAGTCCTTACTTTTATTTTGACACCACAATGGGAAAATATAAATAATAGTAAGTCACTTGTAAGAATGATGAGTAATCATACCTGCTCTATCCTGTGAGTCAAGACTGTCTGGGAAGCATTCTGCTTCAGTTAAGGCTCTTCCGTACTTCCCTTTGGTCTTGTAAATGCTATTCCCTGGTCCTTTAGCACCCTGTGTTTATTTTCCTCTATTCCTTTTATGGAATTATGTTTATTATTTCAAATGCTGTTATTTACTATATAGACTGTCAAGTGCATTTGTATTTTTAAAGTGTAGATCATGCCAAGCACCTCAAAAAATGGTTTCCTTTTTTATCCTTCCCATTATTTTACATGTTACTATACAGATTGTTATCTACCTGGCATACATGTAATGCCACAAATGCAGTAATATTTTAATGTATTTAATGACAACAAACACAAATGTTTATAAATATGTCTCTGCAAGTTAAACTGTATCTTATTTTAGCAGTGTTCACTATTTTGTATGAAAAATAATGTTGAACGTTTTTTTCAGATTGAGCCTCACTATATAGCCCTGGCTGGCCTGGAACTTGCTATATAGGTTAGATTGGCCTCAGACTCAAAAAGATCAACCTGCCTCTGCCTTTCAAGTGCTGGGATTAAAGGTGTGAACCATTATGCCTGGCTTGAATTTTTGTCATTTGTAATTGTTAAGTTCTTTTTAAGAGTCATATAAAACAAAGTACCTATCATCATATCAATGAGTATAGTACACAATTGGTGTAAGAAGCTTTATGTGTGAGGGAAGAACTAAAGTTTAGGGATTAACACATTTTCATGCATATCTTCAAAAAAAGAAGAGTAAAGGAGAAAGTCGAGCTAGTATCAAGACATAAAAAAGAAGCAAATATTCCCCTTATGAATAAAAATTTGTATTTGTTTTCCTAGGCAGAAAACTCTCTGCCCAATGTGATGGAGTCAGCTTATTATTTTGAACAAGCTGGAGTTGGTTTGGGGACAGATGAGACGTATCGGGTGTTTCTTGCCCTCAAGCAGCTCACTGACACACACCCAATCCAAAAATGCCGCTTCTGGGGCAAGATCTTGGGTCTGGAAATGAATTACATTGTTGCTGAGGTGGAATTCCGTGATGGCGAAGATGAAGAGGAGGTGGAAGAGGAGGCGGTAGCTGAGGAGAGGGATGACGGAGAAAGTGAAGCCGGAGAAGGTGAGGAGGATGAATCACCAAAGCCCTTGTATAAGGCCCCACAGGCTGTCCCAAAGGAAGACCGCAGAACAGGTACAAACAAGTACGTCTATTTTGTTTGCAATGAGCCTGGAAATCCGTGGGTGAAGTTACCGTCCGTAACGCCTGCACAAATTGTTACTGCAAGAAAAATCAAGAAATTTTTCACTGGGCGGCTAGATGCGGCCGTCATAAGCTACCCACCCTTCCCAGGAAATGAAAGCAATTACTTAAGAGCCCAAATTGCCCGCATTTCAGCAGCGACCCATGTCAGCCCTCTAGGATTCTATCAGTTTGGTGAAGAGGAAGGAGAAGAAGAAGAGGTGGAAGGTGGTCGAGACAGCTATGAGGAAAACCCCGATTTTGAGGGCATCCAAGTGGTTGACCTGGTGGAATCTCTATCCAATTGGGTTCATCATGTGCAGTACATTCTTCCTCAGGTAGGGGAGTATTTGGATAGTACATAGACTTGGATTTACTTGTGTTCTGAAATAATCTGCTATACTGTAAATATTGACGTGCATTAATTTTGTCAACAGTTCTTTTATTCTACATGAAGCTTTTATGTTCAAGAACATTAAAAGATTACTACAGAAGTGAAAACCAGTTTTGTACAGCGGTTATATAGAGACTCTCTGCCAGATACACTACATATAACCAATTATGTATGTAAACACATATGATATGATTCTCACCACAACCCCATGAAGGAGTGTTGGATTACCTTTATTTTACAATAATGGGTTGAGGGAGGCAGAGTGGGAGAAATGCTAAAGCAACCTTAGCTGATTTGTTATAGAGTGAGGTGTAAGACAACGGACCCATAGCCCTTCCCCTGAAACATCCCTTTGCTTCTCCATCACGAGCAGAAAATCTTCACTTCCTTCTAGACAAGAGGTGCTCCTGAGTACTCTAGATAAGAATTAATACCTGAGCAATTAGGACCCCAGTCCTATCACATTTAAAATGTCGTTATTAATAATAATTAGCATTGGAAGGGGATACAAGAGAAGCTAATGGGGGCTGAATGTGATGAAAATACATTATATACTTGTGTGTAAATATCACAATGAAACATTATTTTGTTCAGTTACTATATGCTAATAAAAACAAATATTTAAAAGTTACTATGGTCAGGTAATGGTGGTACACACCTTTAATCCCAGCAAGCTGGAGGCAGAGGCAGATGGATCTCTGAGTTCAGGCCAGCCTGGTCTAGAGAGTGAGTTCCAGGACTGTCAGGACTACACAGAGAAACCCTGTCTCAAACAAACAAACAAAAAACAAAAAAACACACACAAAACAAACAAACAAATAAACACAAAGTACTGTGAAGATCAGATATGTAAGATTATAAACCATTTCACCAAGGCTATTGTGGCAATGCCTTACAACTATAAATATTTTAGGAATATTCTATAAATAAGGAAATATAGGAACTGGTCATAAGAATGCCCAGCTATTAAGAGTGCTTGCTGCCCTTCCAGAAGACCAAGTTTGGTTCCCAGTATCCTTGACAGGAGGCTTACAATGGCCTGAACTCCAGCTCTAGACTATCTCATATCTTCTTCTGACCTCCATAGACACCTGCACACATGTGGCGTGCGCGCACACGCACACGCGCGCACGTGTGCACACACACACACCTTTAGAACAGAGGGAATTATAATGATAGATTTTTATTGTTTGAGACAGGATCAGATTATGTATTCCTGACTAGCCTGGGACTTGCTAAGTAGATCAGGTGAGCCTTGAACACATAGAGATCTACCTGACTCTTCCTCCTGAATTCTGGACTTAAATGTGTATTCCATCATGCCTGGTTTTAATGATTGGATTTTAAAATGTTAAATGATCTTAAAACCATTCTTACAATTTCTAATCTAAAATAACATATTAATAAAATCAATTAGAACCTTTCAAGAGAAATGAAAAAAATATGCTTTTTAAAAAATTACCATTTATTTCATTTATATAAAGTACTACAAACTAGTTAAATGTATTGCTGCCATTTCCATTAAGAGTCTATCCATTTTAAAGCATGCATCTATTTTCAAGTTCTGAAACTCCAAGAAAGAGAAAATTATTGAAGTAACTACTACAGGTTAGTTGTTTTTCCTTAAGTAACCCAGATGGAAATAATACTTGGTGAGATACACAGAATGAATAAGCTCAGTGTGAGTGCCTGCATCGGCAAGCCTAGCATTATAAAAATGGAGGCAGAAGATTGTTGAAAGTGACCCTGTATCAGAATAGTTGGCCAATTTCCCACACAGAGAAGTCTCATCTTGATAACTACCAACCAATATGAATATTCTGACATTTGTAAGGTTCACATTAATCATTAAACCTTGCAACATTCATCTCCAGGGTCGCTGTACTTGGTTCAATCCTATACAAAAAAACGAGGAAGAGGAAGAGGAAGAAGATGAAGAAAAAGGAGAGGAGCCTGACTATATAGAACAGGAAGTGGGGCCTCCTCTTTTGACACCCATCTCTGAAGATTTAGGTAACTTTATACAACGGTTAACAAGGACCCATAAACTATATATTACACACATTGTGTGGTAAACATGCAACCACTGGAAACCCTAAGAGGGGGGCAGAGAGATAGGTCTCACCCCTTCTCTCCTTCCTGGGTTCTGGAAGGGTGGGGGTAAAGAGTGCTTTCGGCTATACTAACATGCTTTGAAAAAGGCTGGTGGTGTACAGAAGAAGCAGGAATGGAAAGGTTGACGTCATTCTTGTCTGGCATTCTGTATGCCACAAACACAGGGCATAGCTACGGCAAAATGTCACATGTGGTCTGCAGTTGGCTTCCAATCTGTACTCTATTGTTTCTTCCTATTCTGTTTTGCTTGCAAGTCTTATTAGCCTTTTCCATAGTAATGCATTTCCTTGTCCCTTGGTTATCAAACTATTTCCCGACTATACAACTTCTCCTTTAGTAAAGTCTCTGTTTAGCAAAAAATATTGATACATATTTGTATGTTTGTGTTATATATTTATACATAAGATATATGTATGTATATATGTATACCACATATACAGGCTTAAAATTATATTGGTCCAGAACACTCATAAAATACTCTCTTGATTCATACACCAAGCTGCTGTTTTAACTTCTTATAGCAAATGTTGGTGATTGTTCCATATTTATAAAAATCACTTCAGTTATTGGTAGATTCTTGTCTGCTTAGTTGTTAAGCTTGTAACTTTCTCATTGGGTTCCAGATATTCAAAATATACCCTCTTGGACATCACGGCTGTCCTCGAATTTCATTCCACAGTATGCAATTGCTGTCCTTCGATCCAATCTTTGGCCTGGGGCATATGCCTTTTCCAATGGCAAGTAAGTATCTGACTGCTCATATAAGCCACATGTAACCAAACTCAGTTTATATTTTGGTGAGTGTGAAACCAAAGCTAGCTCCACCAGGACAGAAAGCTGGGAAAGGATATATTTACCCACAGCAGGTAAGCAGAATATCAAAATCCATCAAGAATGATGATGTCAGTTGATCACAGTCCTCGGGGGAGTGGGAATGGAGGGTGGGCTGGGGGTAAGGGGAGGGCGTGGGAGGGGGGAGAATAGGGGAACCCATGGCTGATATGTAGAACTGAATGATACTGTAAAATAAAAAATATATATCAAAAAAAAAAAAAAAGAATGATGATGTCGTTCAGGGAGCCCCTACACTCACCCAGGGTAGAGACACTCCTGAGTATATAGTATGCTGGGTTGTAAGCAGTACACTCCCAAGCATATTCAATTAAAAGTCATAATCCAGGAAGGAAAGATAACAGATAAGTTTTGAGACATGTTTAGCTGAAGATTAAGTAGCCCGGTTTGGGGCTTAAATCCTTGACAGGAATGACTCTGGGCATGCTCAGATAGAACTGTAGATACAAATAAAGGACACATTGAAAGTGCATTAATATAGGCATTGACTTTGAAGGTGCTAGCCTTGCTTAGTGTCTGACTACTGTAATTATTTAGGCTCTGGAAATTATGTTACTATTGTCCAAATTAATCTTTGGCATGTTAGATATACAGTGTATGATTTATTAAAATGACTTCTGTAATATAGTAAAGATTAAGTTTAGAGCTAGAGTAATTCAGGGTTGTACTTTTTCACATAATTATCCCATTTATCTATATTGGACATGGTTTTACATCACTCATTTAAGTTAGTGGAGAGTTTAAGGTGCAATTGAATTAGACATTATGTTTGTTGAGTGTTTTGATAAAAGTTATTTAAAATATGCTTTATTTAGGTGATCACTTTCAGGGGCATTAGGATCAAGAGACTACTACAGCTTCCTTTATCCCTTGCTGAGAAAGAACACAGTTCCATTTGTCTTGTTTCTGTTTCTTTCCTAATTAGGGTCAGAAAGCGCCACTGAGCAGGTGAGAGCCGAGCTACATTGGTTAGACTAGCCATTAAAGCAAGCCTCATGTTCAGGCATTAGTTAGCCAACACAAAACATGCTCCATGCACTCTGTGTGTACGTGTGCGTGTGTGAGAGATGCACTGTTTCTAAGAAAGGAAATTGAGTTGGATGGATGGGGGAGTTTGGAAGGAGTTGGAGGAAAGAATATGATAAAATATATTGTATGAAAAATTTAAAAACCACAGGAAGTCAAAAGTGAAAACCAGTGGCCACTGGCGTTTGACCATGCTCCAGTGAGTATATGGGCAACACAAACTGGACTTGTGGTTTTTTTTTTTTCCACTTTTTTTTTTTTGAGTGGGGAGGTCACAGGGTTAGGGGACCAGACCTGGGACTTAAGGATTGGGAAGTGAGTGTAATCAGGGTGCATAATGTGAAATTCCCAAATAATAAAAATATTATACTGAAAAAAGAAAAAAAAACAAGTAATAGCCAAGCTTTTAATTATTTATCATGATAGCACAAGGAAGAGAAAGTTTTGCCTTTCCCCCCACATTTTTCTCTTCCAAAGATCAAACGGATTTGCAGGAATGTGGGTGTCACACATATATGGATATCATGAGGTCATCTCATGGGTGGAGGGCCCCACCCTCAGGCCGGAGACAGAACACTAAGAAGGAAAGCTCTTGAGTTAGGAGTGTGTGACTGGCCTTGGGGGCAGAGTTCTTGACTGATACTCCTGTTAGCATAGAGGGTCCGTCAATTGGTTATGCATCACATCTGCTGTGGGATGGGGAGTCTTCCTAAGTGGGGTGAGGCCTACAAGATAAAGCCTCTGCAATTTCCTATGATCAGGCCTGAAAAATAACACATCAATTTTTAGCCATAGCTCTTACTCTTCATCCAGCTAAAGTGAGCAACTTTTGAACTTTGTAGAAAATGTCTGCAAAAAGTGAAATAATTGAGTAACCCAAGGCCCTTTCTTGAGGGAGGTCTAGATATAGGGTGTGTTTTTGACAGACTCTGGCCCTGTTTTTCATAACCAACTTAGCAGTTTAGTACAAATAATTTCCAGTACTTGAGGAATTACTGGGGACTATTTCACTCTAGCCTTTTAAATGCTATAAAAAATAAACAAACAAACAAAAACCCCACATGGTTCTAAGATACAATAACAACACATTATTACAATGAAGGGTTCAACTTTTCTTAAGAGACATGGCTTTATTTTCTTTTCACTTACAGGAAGTTTGAAAACTTCTACATTGGCTGGGGTCATAAGTATAGTGTGGAGGATTACACGCCCCCAGGCCTACCACCAGTCTATCAAGAGTATCCCAGTGGACCAGAAATTACAGAAATGGATGATCCCAGTGTGGATGAGGAACAGGCTTTCAGGACTACACAAGAGGCCGTGGTCCATTCAGCTGAGGAGAGTGAAGGAACTGAGGATGAAGATGATGATGATGATGACTAGCACAAAATCAGCCCAGTCTTACGTGGCACACCCCCCCACACCCACACCCCCCCACATGAATCTTCTATGGGGGACCGATTTTATATATACATACATATATGTTGGAAATACAGATACGTTGGAAGTGATGATGCAAAGTATCATCCCTTTAAAGTTATCAAATGGGGAGGGGATGTGGAGAGATGGCTCAGTGGTTAAGAGAAGTTTTGCCCTTGCTGAGGAGAGTTCAGTCTCCAGCACCTAAGTCAAGTGACTCGAGGAATTCCTATGTCTTCTTCTGCCCTCCATGGGTACTACTGCACATGTGCATATCACATCAAAATCAATCTTTTTGTTTGTTCGTTTTTTGAGACAGGGTTTCTCTGTGTAGCTTTTGTGCCTTTCCAAGAACTCACTCTGTAGCCCAGGCTGGTCTCGAACTCATAGAGATCCACCTGCCTCTCTGCCTCCTAACTTCTGGGATTACAGGCGTGTGCCACCACCACCCGGCTTTCAAAATCAATCTTTAAAAAATATTTTAAAAGCTAGATGTGGTGAGACACATCTTTAATCCCAGCACTTGGGAGGCAGAGCCAAAATCTCTTTGAGTCCAAGGCCAGCATGGTCTACATGAGTTCTAGGACAGCCAGGGCTACATAGGGAGACCAAGTCTTGAAAATAACAACAAAAAAAAACCATATGAAATTGGAGACTTCATATATAGAACTGTCAGCATTTACAGAAAGTTGCCCAGTGGATTTTCCAGAAGCTCATGTGATCATAACACTGTTATAATAGCTACAATCAAGGTAATTAACACTTAAGTAATCTTGATTTGAAAAGATCTCAATTTTTTACTCTCCTGGACAGGGTTTCCCTATGTAGCTCTGGCTGTCCTGGAACAGGACAGCTTTGTAAACTAGGCTGACCTCAAACTCACAGAGATCCACCTGCCTCTGCCTAACCAGTGCTGCAATAAAAGGTGTGAAACACAGTGTTGTTGTTTTATTTTACTCTTTTGGAGGCCCACCACCCAGCTCCCAAATAAATCACACACGGAGGCTTATTCTTCATCATGAATGCCTGACCTTAGCTTGGCTTGTTTCTTGTCAGCTTTTCTTAACTTTAAATTATCCCTTCTACCTTTTGCCTCTGGGCTTTTTACCTTTCTCTATTTTTGTATACCTTTCATTATTTCTTACTCTGTTGCTGGGTGTGTAGCTGGGCGGCTGGCCCCTGGAGTCTTCCTCCTTCTCAGGCTTTCTTCTTTTTTCCCAGATTTTTCCTTTTATATATTCTCTCTGCCCCGTCTATCCTTTCTCTTGCCTTGCTATTGGCCATTCAGTTCTTTATTAGATCATCAGGTGTTTTAGACAGGCAAAGCATCACAGCTTCACAGTTAAACAAATGCAACACACCTTAAGATAATATTTTACAACAACAATACTCAAATTTAATTTCTAATATGGCAAGTACTGAAAGTTATAATTCACAATGCTTTTTGAAAATGCCTAGATTTTGAGTGTCAATGGATATGGAATTAAAACATTGATAACCAGGGGCTGGAGAGATGGCTCAGTGGTTAAGAGCACTTGTTGCTGTTGCAGAGGACCTGGGTTCAGTTCCCAGCATCCACATGGTAGCTTAAAACCATCAGTTCTAGGGGATCCAGTGCCTTCTTCTGGCCTCTTTGGGTCACACACACACACACACACACACACACACACACACACACACACACACTCATGCTATAGACAGGCAAAATAATCATGCACATGAAAGAAGTCCAACAAACAAATCTCTAATCATTAACCTAAAGCAAGTATTTAGCCTCTACCAGAACTGGAGTATATATTCTTAAATCTGTAGCTACTTCTGCTGGAGCCAATGGTACTGTATGCAGGAATACTGTGCATGTGCATCCATCCTCTTTCCTGGGTGAGTAATGACAATTCCAGAAACAGAGTAAAAGCTGTACAGTATTAAAATTATAGAGCTTGTATTTTCCTCAACTTCTCCATCAAACTTCTTGCTCATCATAAACTAGTTGGTGGGAAAAGAATTACAGAGATGGGAGGTGATGATATCCAGACACTTTAGACTTACATGTTCCCACTCTAATAAAACATTTTCATTCATTAAAAAGGAACTTGAAATTTTATTTGTATTATGTGTGTGTTTTGCCTACATGTATGTAAATGTACTAGGTATATGCCTGATTCCTACCAAGGTCAGAGGAGGGTGTTGGATGCCTTGGAACTGGAGTTATAGGTGCTTATGAGACACCGTGTGAGTGCTGGGAATTGAACACAGGTCCTTTTGCAAGAGCAAAAAGTACTCTTAACCACTGAGCCAACCTTTCAGCCCCCAGCATTTTAAAATCTAATTGTACTAGACATCATGAGATTATGAATAAAATCTTGGCACTGCTCCTGAACATTGCTTTTATTGGAGAGGGATTATAAAAAGGAAAATATAATGTGGGGTACCATAGATCAGCTTCTCAAACTCTATACTAAAGGACCAGTTAAAAACAACTCTCTGGGGTTCCGCATTTCGGCTCTCCGAAGTGTGAGAGGCAGATCGGCCGGACTCTGCGGTGTGTGCTGGTTCGAGGCGGCTGGACCCCGACCCCAAGGCCGGGCCCTGAAGCTTGGGCGGCCCTGCTTAGCCGCGGACCGCCCTCCGTTTCCCGGTGCCCGCCACGGCGCCCGCCGAGTCTGACTGGGGCTGGGGCCGCGGCCCCTCGGGCTAGCGAGGATGAGCTTCCTCTTCAGCAGCCGCTCTTCGAAAACATTCAAACCAAAGAAGAATATTCCTGAAGGCTCCCATCAGTACGAACTCTTATAACATGCAGAAGCCACTCTGGGAAGTGGCAATCTGAGGCAAGCTGTCATGTTGCCAGAGGGAGAGGACCTCAGTGAATGGATTGCTGTTAACACTGTGGATTTCTTCAATCAGATTAACATGTTGTATGGAACCATTACAGAATTCTGCACTGAGGCGAGCTGCCCAGTCATG